AAAATATTTGCTTTCTTGGCTCTCTGACTTAAAAAGGTTGGCGACCCCTGGCCTAGGACAATGGTGCCTAGCTGTAAGCTTAAATAAGGTTAATTTGAAACCTATATTTTTGTAGAATAGTAACACACATTTGGGGATTCTGTGATTTCATGGAAAGGCATCCTTTGGGAAATAGGTAGTTTATTGCGTAAATTTTTGACACCTGGATCCCCAGTTCGTCATCAGACTAAGAGAAAGTTACAAACAACAGTTAGCATTTCAAAGTGCTGATACAGTTATATAGTCATCTGCAAACACTAGTTATGTGATTTCTTTACTAGGATCCATGACTTAAGTGGGCCGAAAAGTCATTTTCGAACAGGTGTTGGGCCTTTGTCTACTTTGCTTTGAAAATGTACGCGCTCAACACAAATGTTTTATCATCTGTTGTAGGTGGTTTCTGATTGGGAGGATGGATGATGTGAAGCCTTCCAGCTTATCGTTCGAAGTTAGAGCCAAGTTGGCCGAGTTGGAAATCGAATTATCTGAAGGTGATATTTTTTGGAATTTATAAGCCGATTTTGTCACATAGTCAATGTAACCACCTTAATTTCTCCGATGTGCATGCCCTAACGAAATAAATTTTACCATTCGTTCGTTTCCCTCTACAAAGGCCTCGTGGCCATTTTCAGCGAAAGCCATGAAAAATAATTATAAACTAACTGGTTTTAATACTATGTACAGAACAGTTGTGCATTTTATATTCTCAGCAGAGCTTCGGACACAGGTTCGTGCTTTGGAAAAATTAGTGATTTGCTAATGAGTTGCATGCGTTCAGAGAAAATTGTTGCCACCCCGACTATCGGACCTCAATGCTCGTTTATCCTGTACTATAATACTCTGAACTGCGTTTAGACGGGTGTGGAGGTTCGTTATTTCAGAGCGCAGTAAACGCTATCTGAAAAGAGAAAGCATGTTTTCTTTCCCTCTTGATTGTTCTAATAAAGGTGAGACTCCTAATCTTCTAACGTCAAAGCCTTGCAATAACAAGTATACCACGCGACTAGGGTCTAAAATCTTCACATAAGTTAGCTTGTATGAAGAAATGTCCTTGCGCCTACTTTTTAGCAATACATATCCGCTACCGTTCACTATCTACTTCGTTCCACAAATGTCTGGACTGTCTACCGGAGAAAGGTTAATCTGCATATACTGAAGTAGTATTAAAGTGTAAGACGCATGACCAAGCGAAGCAACATCAGCCACACGAATTTTCATCATTCAAAGAAACTTAATTGAGAAGATTGCAGAATCTGCTTACTTAACTCTGATTATCTTTATAATTAACCGAGAGCTGTTGCATT